TTTCTCTTGATTTATAGGTTAAAGCCCAGCCAACACAAGGCTTCTCCCCGCCACCCCCAGCAATTTCTGTTTTGAACTAAGTGTTCAATATTTTATCAAACTATACTTTTTGTTATTTTTAGCCTCATAAAAAATGATTAAAATTTAGAAAGCCCTACATAGGATTGGAAAGTAGTTTTTCTGTTTTTGTTTCCAGAATTATTTCACATTTCTGAATTAACACAGCTCTTGGTCCCAAGAATCACATGATCTCACTGCTCTGAAACACAGATTTTTCATATTAATTTTTTCAAGAGATGTCAAATCAGAAAATAAGAATTTCAGATATATGTAACACATATGTTGATGGCTTTAGGGTCAAGGACAAGAAACAACTGTGATGTGATCCTCTCTGGAAAAACCTGCCTTCCAACATCTTTCTTTTTTCCCTTTTCTCCTTCTGTTTCTCCTCTTCATCCCCTTCCTTCTTTTTCTTTTTCTTTCTTCACTTTCCAAGAGGAACTTTTCTGGGGAAAGACCTAATGTCTTGCACTCAAGCTCGTGTCTCAGAGGGAATTTGGAAGTAGCTCAAAAGGAGAGCCCCAGACGACGTCTGTAGCTACGTCTGTAGCAAGCAGGCTTTAGGTGCCCCTCACAGGGGACTCTCTACCAGGGACTAACGACAGTACTATTAACTGTGAACTAAGACTGCCCCAGGCCCACTTGGAAAACCGCGTGCTAGGGAACCAGCAAGCAAAGAAGGGGATTACTGCACTGGCCAGGCTGCCTGAACTTCTCAAGGGAAAAGCGAGTCACTACTCCTCTCCGAGGGCAAGGAAGAGCGTGTCGGAATGCCGGCACTCTTTGGGACATCACTTGGTAATACCCTGCCCTGTGATTAAAAACTAATGGAAAAAAAATTAATGGGAAACCACACCTCAGTGAAGACAAGATTAGAATTAGGGTGTGGATCATTCCATCCGACAAGGAGCTATGATCCGTTGCGGGGCTTTCTGAGAGCAAAGCAAATATAGAAAGGCAAATGGAAGGAAGACAGCTATGATTATATGACCAGTTGCAGAAATGGTGGCTGTAATAGTCATGAGAATTTCTTCTTTTCTTTGATACATGTATATCATATAGGTATATAAATATCTATAAGTATGTTTGTGTATGTTTATATATATATATTATATATTTAAAATATTCTTTTTCTTTCTTTTCCCCTTAGCCTATTCATTGACTATGTAATGAAAGATGTGTAAAAGAGGTAAACCTTGTATCTTGACATTTAAGTTACAGGATATTAAAGGGGGAGTATGATTCAGCTAGAAGTGAATGTAACCCAAAGATGAGTAAGTGTATACTGTTTCAGAGAAAGTTAGCCAGTTTTCATTTCTATGAGGTTCTCAGGTTAGCATAGGAGGTGTCAGCCATGGGAGGGCAGAAAATGGGGGCTGACAAGGTAGTTAGAAATAGACTAACCCCTCAAATTGCATTTTAAAAGCCTCACTCCTCTTTAACATTATTTTCACTAAAGTTTTCTATTCCTCTTCATCTCTGACTGGCATTTGCCTTCTCACTGGCATTTTTGGTATATTAAAAAATGCCAATTGTGTCCAGAATATGCCAGACAAAGACATGATTCAGTGGTGGAGTTGTGGACTTCAGAGCCAGCCCTCCTGGAATTGGACACGAAGGAAACCCATAAATGGATGGTGAGCTCAGGGCCACCTGAATGTGAAGCCTTCCACTGTCATTCCCATGGCAGCCCTTCCAGCCCCCGATGGTGGCACTCAGATTCCACCCTGCTCTAGATTACTCTGGAATCGCAGATTTTCATGCAACGCCAGAGCCGTAAAATTCTCCTTCATTTCTGGCCAACTATTAATCCTGCTGTAAAGGGTTATCGATCTCTTTGTGAAATGTTCGACCAATCGCTGTCAGAGAACTTGGGTTCCCCATGATAGAAATAAAACACTAACATTTTTTAGCAAAGACTTTATAGGTGTTAGAGTCTATATACCATTAAATATAGGTATTTCCAGGCATTCCATTACTGTATTGATCTTTTATTATAAATTTTCAGGATATAAATGTTGTAACAGTGACATTGGGAATACGTTTTACTCCTCTGGCTTTTAACATAAGGAAACAGAAATAGAAATCCTATGGGTAGCTGGGAGAAGCCTTGAGCACACGGCACATCAATTTATTGGCGAAACTTAACCTGGTAATTAGTATCATGTTTGCAGATGGACATGGAGGTCCAGAGGCAATTATTTATTAGTCATCTTTATGAAACAGAAGCCTGCATCCTACTGCACCCAACTGATTGTTCCAATCCCCAGGTGTTACACAGTCTGCTTTTGCGAACCCAGCCTGGGCGAAGGGCTCTCAGCCCGTAAGGGGTCTTCACAGGCAGGTGGGCTGGAGGACAGATAGACACAGACACACCTGAGTACCTGAAAGAATGGGTATGATTTCACTTGGGGTGAATTCATCCCTTGGGGTTACTGGCTTGAAGTCAATTAAAACAGACATTGTCCAAAGTGAAGAAGGAATTTGGGGGAAGACTAGGAAGTGGTTCAGAGAACAGAAGGTATAAGCTGGTGAAGCGGCAGCGGGAGACCTGGCCGATCTGAAAGGGCCGTGTCTTCAGAGAATCGCTGTGTCCCGGACGCAGCTAGCTCCGGTCCTGTGAGTCACTCTGCTCAAGGCTCTGGTCCGGGGGGAAGGGACTGGCCCTGCTACAAGCTGCAGGCTCTCTGTCTAGAGTCAAATGGTTATCGGACCCTTGAGGCTATAGTGGGAGAAGGATGGTTTCCCAAAGAGAAATCAGGATGTTCTCACCAGATAATGAGGTCACTGTGTCATGAACAGATGGGTCTTGTGGTATCTGCCCCCGACACTTTCTGTGCAGGTAATTTGCACGTGCCCAGGCTGAGAGATGGGGTGGGCAAGGACAAACCCCTCAGCTCAGTGTTAGGCTCCCATTTCCTCTTTCCCTCCACAGCATCCCTGAGCTCTGAGGGATTATCCAGACCCAGATGGTATTTGTATTTCCAAGAGCTGCAGCCACTCAGAGCCTGACATATGCCACACTAAGAAAACTATGAAAGGGAAGCCAAATGTCAACTAGGACAAATTTTTCCAGACGTCTCTCTCTCTCTCCCTCTCCCTCCCTTTCTCTCTCTCTCTCTCTCTCTCTCTCTCTCTCTCTCTAGCTAGATTCCAGTTACAAGGAGTCTGAGATGTCCCATTATCTGGGCAGAGAACTCACTCCAGGGAAGTTTTCTAAGGTTGTTTAATTTCTTTGCTGCCCAAGAAGTGCTCAAATCTCAATCCCAAATCCCTCCCCTCCAGTCAAATGCATCTTTTGGCCCTAATTCCAAGCCCCCACTTGCATAGCTCCTAATATCTGGAATAGCCTCCCAGCCAAGCCAATGAGTCAGTTTTCTGAGTGTCTTCAGATCCCCAGAGATTTACTTCCAGAAGCTTCCAACAACACCCTTAGGATGTATG